CTAACAAAAGATAATGCGTATCAAAAAATGACCGACACCATACGAAAGAGGAGAGAAAAATACGTAAAAAACGATTATTTACTCAATTTTTACCGACTTAAAATCTCAAGAAAAACGGCCGTGAAAGACTTAATGCGAAGGTTCGTTTATATATAGACATATTAGCCTCCCCCCTGAAAATACATGGGTATAGTTTACACCTAAAACTTATACGTGTAAAATATACGTATAACTTTACGTAAAAATACAGGTGTTTTTTTTGGTACAAATTTCACGTAAAAAATATACGCATTTTTTTTATAAATATGGGTATAAATTATAAGTATAAAAAATATTTTAGAAATTTACAAAAACAACTATTTATTATTATTAGATTTGATGTGAGCATGAATTAATTAGATAATGTACATATGTAATTGATTCTTGAAATATATAATAGGTCTGAATTTTCAATTTAAAAAAAGGTAATTTTTATTTCTTCATATTTATGACATAAAAGACTTTTGATTCAAAACATATTTATTTTATACAATTGCGACATTATTACATGGTATGAAAAAAAGCTAATGCTAATTGTAATCTTTGAAGATTGGAATGAAATATTAAACATACAACAAATTTGGAACAGCACATACACACTCCGCGGGAAGCACCTCTGAGGCAAGATGAACACACACCTTTTGAATACTACTAGTATCTATAGGTTTTAATTCTTGCGATACGCTCGATCATTATTAGCTTCGAAGAATCTTCAGTTTGTTCTACTTCTGTCCAGTAACAAAGCGTGTATTCTTTTGATTCATTCAAATCCACGATAAATTCTGCAAGTTTAACATAATTTCCATCTACAGTTATAGCATAAGAGTTATCTGATCGCAGTCTGTTATTTTCACATGAAGTAAATAAGCACCTTTGCTTAACCATTTTTTTGTACGTTCTGGCACTTGGTGATAATGAAAGTCGTTCAATCCATTCTTCATTGGTAGGGTAATACTTTCCAAAATATCGATCATGGGAAAGTTTTGAACTACTTTTAGCATGTTCCTTATCTAGATTAGAAACATAATCAATAACGTTCGATTTTGGGTATCTCGCTTCTACATGTTCTTTTAAAAGTATTAAACTCTGTCGCATATTAATGCATCCACTAATTTGCTGAGTTACACTTTCAGCACTATGGATCATTTTAAGGATTTTACCATTACCACTCTCAAAACAGTAGCCTGAATGGGTAAGCGGTGGTCCAAAATTGACAGTACTTGGAGTTAGATGTAACTGCTGATGAAGGTTATAAGTCATGGCTTGTACCTTAGAGAATATATACATGGAGGAAGCATTGTATGCTCCGACCGCGAGACGAAATGAGAGAGACAAAAGACAAATAGCAGTACAACCTTTCTCTCTCTTACACGCCTCTGATTGGTTGGCCCCCTTCCGTATATATAGGTATAGTCGTATCCACGAGTGGCGGTCGTGGGAGAACAGAGCAGATATATGTAACCTAAGCTTTGATGAAAAAGAACTTATACATTACCAGAGAATATAGAATATATCCTCTTTAAGTATAGAAGGCCAAAGCGGAATTCCGAGCAATACACACTAAAACAATAATCTTCCATTACAACACAATTAAAACAACAAAATTTGAATAAAAATTTCCAATTTTAATTAAAGCCCTCATACCTGGTTAAACAGTTCATGTATGGCTAATGACTCAGTTAGAATGTTTGTCATCGATAGCTGAGCGGTCAAGAATGCTCGATTAGCTTTTGCGCTCTGGGCTTCGAATCTGACCTATGCTTTTTTTTTTT